AGTCAATCAAATGGGAAGGCAGAGTCGGCAGTGAAGCAAGCCAAGCGACTATTAGCGAAGGCTAGAGATACTCCGGAGGACCTATACCCCATGCTACTGGAGAGTCGCAACACTCCTTCAACGGATATCGGCCTGAGCCCAGTGCAGCGCCTATACAGTCGAAGGACCAGAACTGTGATGCCTGCATCCGCAACACTTCTGCGCCGTCACGCCACAACTGGAGAAAGCACAGAACCGTTTGAAAAGGCGAACGGCTACTCAGAAATGGTACCACGACAACGGCGCACGGAAATTACCTGAGCTGACAGTGGGGGAAGAAGTATGGGTTGAACCAATTCCCGATGGACAGGAGCGGTGGAGAAAAGGAGTCGTGGCTGCGAAAATCTGTGAAAGGTCATACGAAGTAAATTTTGGAGGGAAGAAGCTGAGAAGAAACCGAGTACAGCTGAGGAGATGTCCGAGGCGACAGCATGAATCAGGGAGAGAGCGTTATACTGCTTGCGGCAATGAGGCGGCATAGGCAGATCCAACAAAAAGGACGCGGAGTGGTAAAGTGTATGGACTATTTAACAAAGTACAGCAGCAAGAACATGAAAAAGGGAGGATGCGATGGGAGTATACACTCGAACGAACTTGCGGTGCCAGCCCAGCAAGGAAGCCGTTAGGATGCCGCAAGGAAAGGCGACAGCGGATTGGACGTTCACACGTTTCTCGCATGCACGCTGATTGGCCAACAGTTGGACGCATTATAGTGAGTTTGTTTGACTGAAGCAAAGGAAAAATATCAAGCATTCCCAAAGGTCGTTAATTATGGCTCCAACTAGCTGTATATACCAATATGTTTCACTCGCCCTCTGCCTGCGTTTTCGCCTGGTCCGTTGTTTGCAGAATATAGTTTTGTCCCTGAAGGACCGACATTTTACAGGACCGACCACGCCAGATGAGAAAAAATTACTTCCTGTTCACAACCTAAAACGAAAGCAGAACTCAGAAGTTTCTTAGGCTTGGCTTCGTAACATCGTCGGTTTATTTTTATGTTTGCGGCCATCTCAGCTCCCTTACCTCGGTTAACTGTGAAGGGACGAGAATTCTGCCAGATTAAGGGATATCAGAATGCCTTTTCTTAAGACACCCTCAATCTTGGCTCTCCCTGACAACTCACCATAGTCGGGAGTATTTGTATTGGATATAGACACGAGCGCTGAAGCGATCGGCGCAGTTATATTCCAGAAAATTCCGTCGATGGAAGTTGTGCTTTTTACGTTATTCGCCGCTTAGATATGCGCTCGAGGAATACAGCACCACTCGATGGGAACTTCCAGCGCTGGTTGGCTTTTTACGAAATTTTAGACCGCACCTACATGGAAAGTCATTATAGGTTCGCACTGCTCACCAGTCACCTCAGTGGTTAAAATCTTCCGTGAGCCGATGGGACAGGTAGCAAGATAGCAGCAACAGCTTAAATAATGCGATTTTACCTGCAAATCTCGTCCAAAGACACATCACTCCAATGCAAACGCGATGGAGAGATCAGCGAAGTCCGTACAGGTCAATTTGGCTCACTTAGACAAGAGACCGGAATTGCGTGAGTAAAAGACCAAGTTTGTGACCCGTATATAAATACATAAATAAATAAGTAACTGGTTTATCTCAAATTTATAGCTACCAGATACAACCGACAGCTGAATGGCTCCATGAAAACCAAAGGAAATAAACTACATGAACGTACCACAGAAGAACGCTCCCTACTCAGGCACTGGAATGATTTAAGGATCATCGACGGTGTTCTGTATCGCGTTAATAAATGTGGTCCGAAACTGAGTACTCGGATGACCCGATCTCTTGGAAAGCCACAAAATGTTCCTCAACAATTGGGCCATTCCGGTCAGTAGAAAAGGGTGGATGCGTTTCCTCAATGGTACTGGTGGCCTGGCATCCACGCCGATGTCGTTCAGTGCTGTGCGTCATGTGAGCTCTGTGCTACTTTGAAGCAATAGTGCCTTTTCCTCTTGCTCCTTAGGAACCAATAGTTACTACAGCCTCAGGGCAACGAATTGGATTAACTATCATTGGTACTTTGCCGATAACAAAGTGATGGACTTGTTACATATTGGTTATGATAGAGGACTTCACGAAGTGATGCGAGGCAATACCTATCAGGTGCCAAAATGCATCCACTGTCGCTTCCACTATCATCAACGCGTGTCGGCTCGTTACGGCGCACCCATATCATTGCACTCCAATCAGGGCGCATCTTTTGGGCGCCACCTAATGCAAGAAATGTGCCTCTTGCTACCCACTAAAAAGGCACGAACTACACGGTATCATCCACAAGGGAATAGGCTAGTTAAGCGGACTGTCAACGCTATCCCACAGAGCTTCGTTGAACGCCATCAGTCTACTCAGTGGGACGAAGCACTACCACAATATATGCTTGTCTATGGTGCACTCTACAACCGGCCATTCTCCAGCTCACCTTACTCTCAACCGTTTGGTTCGCTTACCGCTAGCATTACTAACGCCCGTCTGTTCGGTGGAAGCGTACTCTATGTCAGCATACGTCCGCGATAACAGCAAGCGATCCCGAGTAGACTTTCAAAGCGTGCAGGAGCCCATGAACAGAGTGCAGCACAGCCAAAAGGAGTATTATGATCGCCAAGGTTAGGGCTCTGAACAAAGAATAGGTGACCGTGTATTGCTACGCGTACAACTCCTCCACCTGGCGCACCAGGAAAATTCCATCGGGAATGGAAAGGGCCATGTGTGATTGTGTTCGTACGCTCGCCTACTGTGTATGTGCTTTAAAACGTTGCAGCTGCAAACGCAGACGTACTGACCGTTCCTTACAACCAGCTGGAAACGATGTCACCGTCTTTAAGTTCTACACCTGTAAATGGAGTCGTGCCACCCGGTTGTCTCTAGAGAGCGAACACACGGTAGAAGTGGGAGCTCAGGCAGGCCTCGCTGTGGTTCCAGATGCGCTGGCACCGGGAACAGTGCCGCACTTAGTAGGGGCGACAATGTAATACAGTTGAAACCGAAATGTATTGCATAAATTGGCCGTCGTTACTAATGTCTCATTTGCTTGTTTTACAGCGCTTGGCGGACCGAATGCACAATGAATGAACGGAATCAATGCCAAACCCCATTACCCGTTCCTTGTAAACTCTTTTTTTATATACTTGCTTGCCGTGTACCACGCTCTACGCATGCCGCGAGGTTGAATACATCTGGCTCGGTCCAGCTCGCTCAGGCAAGCTGTCCTTAGTGGCGTTCCGCAGGGCTCGGTATTGGGGCCATTGTTGTTCGCGATCTATATAAATGACTTGCCGGGAGAGCTTGGGGTGTCATCACTAATGTTTGCTGACTACCTTAAGCTCTGGAAGATTGTGGATATCCCGGGGGTGTCCAGAAGCAATTCAGCGTGCCTTGGATTGGCTTTGGTAATGTTCTAACTTATGGTTGATGCCCATAAATAGGGCCAAATGCTCTGTTCGCCGAATCGGAGCTGCAAATCCTGCCACCCGATATGTTGTCGGCGGTGGTGAACTCCCTGTTGTCACTCAGCAGGTTGATTTAGGAGTCGTACACGCATCAGCACTTCATTCTGGAGACAACTGGAAGAAGGCTGCTTGTCGAGGTTTTGGTACGATGTGGTTTATCCGCCGCTCTTTTGGAATCCTAACGGCCAATTTGTTTGTGAAGCTATTTTCGGCATTCGTCCGACCCCACCTGGAATATTGTATTCAGGCTTGTCCACCATGTCTTAACCGAGACAAAATGGACTTGGAGAGGGTGTTATGAGTGGGCACTCGGTTAGTGCAGGGTCTAGGGGACAGATGTATCCTGAACGCTTGCTCAGTTTGGGGATGTACTCAATGCACTACCGAAGGATAAGAGGGGATCTGATTCTCACTTATCGTATTTTGACGGGCAAGATTGGCCCGGACTTGTCAGGGCTATTCAGTCCCGCTACGTTACCTAATCTCCGCGGTCACCCACTGAAACTGCATAAGCCACGGTTTGATAGGATTAGGACGGAAACTCGTCTATCGCGCCGAGTTATAGATCGCTGGAATTCGCTTCCAGACCACGTGGATAGGGAACCTACGGTTAAGGGTTTTGCGCGCTAACTCGATGCTCGATGGCAACAGCAAACTTTTCCTTTTTCTTAGCTAACTCACCTTCACTTTGCAATTCTTTTTTTAATGACTCAAAAACCTTGGTATTCCACTTGCTTAGCTCTTTCCACTCTCTCTTTTGGCTTCTGGGTTTACTTTTTTCTCTTCCTTACTTCACGTAACCGACCCAGCAGGGACTGCTAGGGCAGGATACGTGGGCATTAATTGGTTGGACAGGGTGTGATGCGGTTTTTGTTTTAGGTCCATCAGTAGTACAAAGTCCGCCAAATCCTGGTTCAACGACCCGCCGAAGAAGGAACACTCACGGGATAATTCTATCTTTCCCGTCCCGTTTGTAATTGAACTTGCTCGTATTCGACTCATTTGAGCCTCGTCGTCTTGCATGATTGCGGTTTCGTACGAGTTACTGCGTTGGGCATTCGGTCGCCGCTTCTCGCGTGCCGTTCGTTTGTAGCCGGGACTTATCGTCCTTGTCCCGAACATCCTATCCGGAATATAATAACCCCCCGCAAAACTTATAATTGTAGTACGCGACTTAGTACAGCAGTGTCGTAAGTTGAAAACTGTTTTCAGGATAATTCTTTAAGGATTATGAGTTATACCTAATGTAATGAAACCATTAGTTATACATATGTTTTTGTTAACATTAAATGCTAAAACCTCATATTTACATGCATTTGATACTTTTTATGTATTTCTATCTTATTATGTAAAGTAATATAGCATTTAATTTCGCGTGTATGATACTAATAATATTCATACTTAAACTATGTAAATACATATTTATTTACTTTATACTTTTGGCAAATATTCAGTGCTAAATAGTTTTGTCTATATTATTTGACCTCGAAAATACATGTATAACGTTTCATACACAGACTATTTTCGTACATACATATATTCAATATCCTCGCCTTATTTGTTGCCTTATCCTAATCCATCCCAAAACGTTCGTTATTCGCAGCCACACCTAACCCCATCATAGCATTTTCTCGCCCCGTCCGTTCCTTTATCTTCAAACTGTTCGTTGCGCTCTTGGAATGCCTTGGAGTCCTCTTTCTGATGGATCTAACATTTCCTAAGCGGTATGATCGAGCGGAAGGAAGCTGGAAACGAAAAAATCTTCGATGTAGACAGCTCTGTACAGGAATCTAATAAGCCATGCTGCACGTCTTTGGATAACGATTGCAGTCAGCCAATCAGGATGGCTGGTACTAACGTCGGTCAGCTCCCACCACCATCTGCAACATTTTTACTCGAAGAATCTAGCCTGTCTGCTCAACTGGCTCCAGCTCCACCCGTTCGTTCCTCCAGCACTCTGTAAGTAGTCATCTGTTGCTACCTTTCCAATTCTTCCTCTCCTTGGGCATGATGAGTAATGCTTGTTCCTTCGGTAACGGAACCGTATTACTGTTTTTATCCATGCTCTTCGGCGACATTTTGTAACCATTTGGCAACGCTGACGACTATAGTCTACCGTTTCTTAACCGAAGCTGCGACGTCGCACTGTTACTCGTTGCGCTTAGATCTTCATTCACTACGTCATATTCTTAAGCTACTTGTAGTCAGTCTACTTTGCCATTTATCCTATGCCATTATTGTCCATAATTAATGGAATCTTTAGCTTTACTTCGGATACTTGATAGCCGGTTTTGGATTTAGTAGCAGTTTGAGAAAACCTACCGGCACTCCGAGTCGAATTTTCGTATGTCGTCCTAATTGGGAATCTGGTTGGTCTAATATAGGGATAACATTTCATATTAGATGTGCGATCACTGCGTCTGTGCTCTCGATTTCGCCCCCTTGTTTCTGATCTCTAGCTACTACTAATATTTTCGCTAGTTCTTTCGTAAATTATTTTGGGATGCACAGCAGGCTCATGAAGCTGCGCTAATAGTACTTGGCCAATTAATATATCCTAACCTCAAGCAATTCTCACACCCGAGTGTGGATCCACACACTTCAGCTGGGGCCTCCCTTCAGAATAGCTCGATTGGATACCATTAGCCCTTTTGTATGCAATTGTGAGCAACTTTGCAAAAACCGGAATACATGCGGCTCAGGTTGGCTGTTCAGGCTTTGGTTTATTTCTCGAGCTGGTCAATTTTGCTGCAGACGTTTCAGCACCAGTCGTGATTTGGTCCTTGTTCTAGCGCCTAGTAGGCAATCTCGGAGAACAGATCAAACCGTTAAGCAACATGTTCTTCCATTTTGCTGGTCTTGCCCTTCCTGTTAAACATTGCCTCAATCTACTACTCTTACATCCTAGTAACAGCCGCAACTCTGTTGCTTTTATTCAATACCGGAGTTCCCGTTATCTCGTTCAAGTCAGTTAGGAGGGACTGGAACGATAAAAAAATCTCGTGCTCGTTCCTTCTTGAGTTGATCGTCGAGCCAGTAATTGCTAAGGTGCTTCGAGATCTTGATGGATATAAAATGAAGCATCCGAACCACACTGGTTAACCAATTACTGTCCACATTTCTTGCACTAGCGGTCCCCGCTGTGCCGGTCACGTGAAGTGAGTGATATGGGAAGGAAATAGAAGACAAAAGGGGTGGTCATTTAAATGTGGAATAATATCAACTAGTAAAGAGAATCATCATTCATTCATTCATTATACACATCAGCTAGAGGTGGGAAAAACACCTCCGCTATTGTGCCGCAATACATGAAGGAAATACATACATACATACAATACAATACACAAAGGAGAAGTAGATACAACAGTTGCATGCCAGCTGAGCTACCAGCAACGGATAGGCATCGTTCCGGTAAGCTTCCAGCTAGCTACTAGGCAAAAAGAAAAAAATTATTATGTTTTACCCTAGGAAATGAGATCCTCGATGGATGGGGAGGCTAAAAGGGATGGGGAGGGACAAAGAAACTCACAGCACGAACGCCACTAAGATCGGCTCCTAGCCATATCAACAAGTGTATCCAGCCAAACGTGTTCACCGTCTTTTGGACCCCAACCAGGGAGCCGTGAAGCTCCAACCGAGGCTAGCTCCGAGGTGAGGGACTTCATTCCCCTGGACCAAGTCATCGCTTGGCCACCTCTCCTCTTCTTCCACCCACATCCCCAGTGAGCAAACAACGCACGTCGAGGGAGTCGGTGGGCTGGCATGCGTAACACGTGGCCGAGCCATCGGAGCCTGGTGCGGGAAATAACGGTGCTGAGCAGTTCAGATCCTTTTCCTGGGCCGTAAACAATGCGTCGAACACGCTCGTTACTCACGCGGTGTTCCCACTATATGTGAGCCAAACTGCGAAGGCACCGATGGTCGAACGTAACTAGCCTCTTCATGTCCGCCGATCTTATGGGCCAGGTTTCGCAACCGTACAGTAAGGTCCAACGTACCGCTGCATTGTACACTCTACCCTTCAGGGCGAGAGTGATGTCGCGCCGCCGCCAAAGGTGGCCAAGGTTAGCAAAAGCACTTCGAGCTTTCGCTATACGGTTCGTGATCTCGTCTTCGATCCCAAGGGCGCTGATACAACTTCCCAGGTAATTGAATTTCTGAACGACTTCTAGCTGATCCCCACCAAGGGTCAGCGCAGGAGGCGATCCCTGCCAATCTTGGAGGAGCGCTTTGCACTTCGATGGTGCAAAGCAAAGCCCGAAGCGGCTGACAGCCAGTGCTAATCTGTCTAGCGCGGCTTGGCACGTCTGGGAGCTGTCACAGATGAGGGCAATGTCGTCAGCATACTCCAAGTCAAGAAGTCGTTCTCCTGGGAGTAGCTCCACACCTTCCAAGTCATGTCCTGTAAATGCAAACTCCATGACTTCGTCAATAGCGAAGTTGAAGAGGAAAGGTGACAGCGGGCATCCTTGTCTCACACCGCTGGAGATATTAAAGGGTGGCGACAGCTTGCCGAGTATGAAGTCAAAGTAGGATGGTGAATATAATCAGGCGAAGAGAAAAGTCTTGTTTCCACTGGAACGTCCAATTTGCGCTCAAATCCCTATAAACGCAGGTGCACTGATTACACTTTCTGGAAGCAACTTCCAGCGCTTGATAATTACGCGATAACCGAGTTTCAGCCCTGATCCGGTTGGAATACGGCTTGTGTAGCTTCATGGGATGACTGCAAAAACAACATAGCGGGGCTAAATAGCCAACTCAACTATGGTCCGAACCTCTGTTAATATATGGCGATGCTTAAGTCTCCTCAAATCTGTCGATAATGCAATGAAAACATACACAAAGTACGTTTGCCCCCGTAACCTCTCTACCAACTTGCTACCCACTTGCATAACCCATTTTGTCTCGAACGAGGCAGAGCGCGCAAGCCTGGACGCAACATTCCAAATGGGGTCGTTGGAAAGCTGGGAACAACTTTCCAAAGTTGTCCAAAAGAACGGCGTTTTAACCATAACATTCGGAACACCCTACTTGCGGCATTCTTCCAACTGTCACCCTAACGCAAAGCAGATGTATGGACGATGCGTAGGTCTGCTTGGTTGGAGACAAAAAGGGGTTAGACCCCACCGAGCACGTATCTCGAAGGTGGGAAAGTTGCTCGTCTACGAAGGATGGAACACAGCCTGATTAATGGGCAGTAGCTACAAAGTAGACCAGTCCCCGAGCCTATCCAGGGCATGCTGAATGGTCTCAGAACCACCAGGGATATATACAACAATCCACAGCTTTAGGTCATCAGCAAATGATAGCCATGATACCCTCAGCTCCCAAGGAAGATCATTTGCATAGGGGGTGGAGAACGGCATCGGTCCAGGGCCTGAGCCTTGTGGGACACCGCTAAGGACCGCTTGCTTAACTGCTAATCTGCAACACGCTTACACATTGTTTTCATTTCTTTAAAGAATGCAAACACGCAGGGAGGGGCGCGTCCAGATCCACCGTAGTAACAGCTTTTGTGATAGCCTCAAGTAGGGTACTGTGTGGAATTCTTTCGAGCAGTCGACGATGATGTTGCCCTAATATGTCATAGCTCACAAAGCTGCCAAGCTGCACAGGTTGGTGACCGTGACTGTCAGCCATTTCGGGCCGCGCTTTACACCCTACAAATGCAAAGGTTTCTTCCAAGATCGTTGGGTACCACCGCTTGTATTGACCCTTGGTAGGGCGAAGCTGGGAGTCCTTCGGTAATTCAACTATCTGAGTAGCTGTATCAGCGGCTGTGGGATAGATGAGGTCACGAACCGTATAGCAAAGGGTCGAAGCATTTTTGCTTTGCTTCGCAACTTATGGCGCCGTCATGACATCAGTCTCAACCCGAACGGTAGAGTTTGTACTGCAGTCATCCGTTCATTTCTCCTGTGCCGTTGTGAAAACTGGTCTATCAGAGCAACAAACAAAAGTGGCTAGTTACCTTGACCACCGATGCGTTCGCAGTTTGGCTCACGTCTGGAATTCGGCCTTTGGTCCAGTGAGTATGCTTTTGCCTTATAATCCCGAGATTACTGGTACGAATCTGCTTAGGCGCGAACGACGTCGCGGTGGTCACGTGGCATCGAAGCGTCTCTACGGTGTGCGGGCGCGCTGCGGCTGCTTGTATTTTGTGGAAAAAGCAAGCAAACTGCTCAGCACCGTTTTTTCACACTGTTGGCTCTGGTGGCTGTGCCATGTGCTATCACACCAACTCCTGTTTATTGCTTTATTTAGCTTTGTTGCTCTCCTTTTTTCCTCTTTTCCAACCACCTAAATGAATAGCATTGCGGCACAGCAACGGGTGTTTCTTACCCCACGACGTGTGTTGTTTGCACCTCCTGGGTCTAGATGGACCAAGAGGAAGGGAGGCCAACCTTTCTACAACTTAGTCTAGATTAATGAAGGAACTCACTTCGAGATTGGCTTCGGTTGGAGCTTCTCGGTTTCCTTTCTAGGGTCCTAAGGACAATGAACACCTTTGGTTGGATCCACTTGTTGGTACGGCAAAGAACCAAACTCAGGGGGTTTGTGCTGCGCGTTACTTTTCCTTCCCATTCCCGCTTATCCTCGATCTTCAACTGCGACTTCAGTGTCGACCTTTTTTCCGTTTCGTTTCTATTATCATTTGTTTCTGTAATGCGGCACAGTGGCAGTGTTTTCCACCTCTAGCCAACGTGTGTACTGATACGATGATTATCGTTTTCACAGCCTTATCTGCATCATTAAGCATCAAAACACCTGCGCGAACACGTACCAGGAGACTAACACCCCTGCGTGCTGCTTAGCTCCCTGGAAGATCGACATACACTCAGACGGTTTCCACCCCATTCACATAATCGCTATTTCCCCATTGACTGCCAATTGTATGAGCTACTTTGTCTCCAGACATCTGCACGCTGTCATTGTGTTAACTTCTGTCTAACCGA